AATTCCCCCGAAGTAAAATGTCTGAAGTCAACACTGTACACGGGACCCCTAATTCAAATTCGCCTGTGCCCCATGAAGTTATAACCCGCCACTCTATCATTTAGTTACATAAAGGTTAAATGCATTCAAAATTCGCGTGGGGGAAAAGACGTAACACCCACCAGAGGATAAATGAATAAAACCACTGTCGTGGATTCGTGCCTTGCGACGTGGAATTTTCCGGGTTTTCTTCACGTTTAACATCTAAATAGGGGCCAGTTTACCTTAAAAAATCTTCCCGGGAAACATCCACTCTCAGACAGATCGCCACGTGTCGCGTTGCCTTATACAAATAAACCAAAAAAAAACATGTGACTGTGGGTGCAGGAGGGAACCACCTTCCTCCTAAAACCAAAAACATGTAGGAACGGCATTAATTAAAGCAATTTTTTAACCACTATTTATTGAAAGAAACGTTAATTTTCCATAAGATTCTGCATGCTGTACTAACTTTTGTGGGCCCGGCCCTCTGCCAGAGAACATTTTGGGGCTCTTCTGCTGGAGCTAGTAGGAATCACGATAGAAGAAATGCTGTAGAAGTTGCTAGCAGGAGAAGTTACAGAAGAAGCATCCCTGTATCTTGAATGCTCCTTCTGTATCTCCTCTTGCTTGCACCTCTTCTACATAATTAATACAGAAAAGTCTTTATAACTAAATACATGCTTGGTCTAGAAAAGAACTGAACAAGAGACAATTTAATAATTGAAAATCTTGCAGTTAATGTAAACAACCTTAAATGGAAGGTCGAATAATCGAAAGTAGTTCGGTTTCGACCTTCAATCTCTGCATTCTTAATAACTAATGGGCCTTGCTACAATATTTGCATAAATATTTTCACAGATATGACAGACTTGACTTTAATCTCATATATTTTTCTTATCAGAATCTTGCAAAATTCTTAAAATTTTCAAAATTATCTTTACTCAACATCAAAACAAGATAATTTCTGCNTTTCTTAATTTAATAATTTTGATTGATATAATAAAAAGTAATGAAGAGAAATTGAAGAATCACTTCAAAGTATTTTTCAATTGTCTGGAGTTATCTAAAATGACTCACAGTATCAAGAAGTTATTGACTTTTTGCCAGTTTCTTCAGTTTTACAGACTTATAAATTACTGTTACTTTATGCTATATTTTTTAAATTAACAACATTCCTTGCATTCTCCTATTACATGCAACATTAAATTAATTTATGTATACATAGTGTTAATATAAACTAGACTTGTTCTCTAAGCAATAACATTTAACAGGCCTTTTCCCTCCACTAAATAATGATACATATAAAAGCGTGAAACCCTAATCTGCAGCTTGTTTAGCTTACATATCCAAATCCATATGTAAAACTATGTAGAATAATAATAATGCATGTTACAACTGTATTATATACAATATGGGTATATATGTATGAGTTTCCTGATGAAGGATCAATTTTAATATGGAAATCCTCTTCAAATTACTTTATTCAGATTATATGAAGCATCCTCGAAGACTTTTTGAGTCTACGAAACTGATCGGAAGATGCCATAAAAGGTACGCAATCTTCTCCAATTTACGGCACGAATATCAGGGATTCAATTTTCTATTATTACATTCAAGTTAAATTAAATAATATTTAATATTTTAAATATTGTTGAACTTCTGAATCTATTTTTACAATGTTCAAGGCAAAAAGTTTGCCTTGAACATTCTAAAAATACAACTGAAAGTTCACGACACTCATTACTATAAAAAAAAAATTAAATCAAAATAAATTATTTGTTGGGGACTTTTCATAATGAATTCTATTACAAATTTAAAAGTTTTAATGTTTTATCATAAGTTAACTTGTTAATTTAAGTATTAACAGNGGATGGAAGTTAAGGTCTTTGTGTAAAATTCTTTTCACACTCTGATCAGACATTTCTTTAAGGGGAACATGCGTAACAGATGAATGTCATGGAAAATTAGTAACAGCCTGTCTTATTGCTTCAATATTCTATGGTGTTCAAATGTTATAAAGTCTACCAGTAAAAGCTGAACCTGTGTCTCTGAATTTTCTAATCCATAACAATGTGGTTTTCCTGTCAGGAACCTTTTCATTTCAATAGAGCCTGAAAATAATTGCTATGTTGCAATGACACAGCCACCATTTTTGAAAAAGGTCTCAATAACAAAAGGAAGAAATAATTAATTTTTCACACCAGATTATTATCAGATAAAAGTTTAAGAGCACTGTCTATCAACATTAATAAGGTTTTGATGTATTTTACTCATCAAAACCTTATTAATGCCAATACAGTGCTCTTAAACTTTTATCAGTAACAAATGCATGATTCTTCCCATTCCATGCCATGATGACAACTGAATGGTATGCTGCTCAAAGACAACTCCATTCTCATAACTTTTTTTTAGTATCTCAGCACATTGTTGACAGTCATGGTTGAAGAAACAAAATAGTAATCATTGCTATTTCTGATTGTATAGTAAAAGTTTCAATAGAATCTATGATGCCTTTCTCATTTACCTTTCAGAACTGGGAGATTATTCTGCCAGACCCTGTATAAAGTTAAAATTGTAAATATCACTATTTTGTAATCAAGAGTGATTTACTAAACACCACATAAAGAATGTAAGACTATCACATGTCAAAAATTTTGAAAAATAAACAAATTCATTAAAAGCATTTAAAATTTCTACTATATTTATTGTTTAAAAATAATTTAATTGTTAAATTACTAGGACAAGTTTTTACTGAGATGTTTTGATTTGAATAAAAATAGATTCTTTCCTTCCTTTCATAAGGATAGAATCAAAATTTAATGACGAAGTTATATTAAAATTATGTTATTAGACTATAATAAGTTTATAGTTATATAAATATTTGTTATATAGTTATTAGTTGGAGGCAGGAAATTCAGACGATAAGAAATTTGATTGCTACACACAAAGCACTAGTTCACGACTCAAAGAATGCTAAATTTTTTTCTATTCAGTTTGAAGTCCTTCATTCTCTTTCAAGTAAATATCTAGAAGAGATCTCAGAAAAGGAAATGTGATTAATTAAGATATGGTCATATAATTCTCTCTTTTCACACTAATGTCTATAAATAAATGGGATCATACTCTTTTATCCCTGCATCACCAAATTCCTATCACTGTTTGCCAGTTTTAGTTGTAAAATTAAAAATTATTTTATTTTTTACATAAATTGTTTTATATCTAGTGAATTATATGCCATTTGCTATTTAAAGAAGAATTGATTTACAGGATTAGTTTAATTAAATATTTTAAGATTTACAAAAAAGGCATTACTTTAGTGCTACAAAAATACAAGAGTCAAGTTTAATAGTGTAGAAAACAGTACAGTACAAATATAAAATAGCGAAGGAAAAGTTTAGTGAAAAATGACAAATTAATTTAATTTTAATTTTTAAAAAACTGAAATATGAAACTTTACAAATGATTTTTAAGTAGAATTAAATAATTATTTCATGTAAATTTCCATTTGGGAGTGTAGAAAGTTTCTTAATTTAATAATTTTGATTGATATAATAAAAAGTAATGAAGAGAAATTGAAGAATCACTTCAAAGTATTTTTCAATTGTCTGGAGTTATCTAAAATGACTCACAGTATCAAGAAGTTATTGACTTTTTGCCAGTTTCTTCAGTTTTACAGACTTATAAATTACTGTTACTTTATGCTATATTTTTTAAATTAACAACATTCCTTGCATTCTCCTATTACATGCAACATTAAATTAATTTATGTATACATAGTGTTAATATAAACTAGACTTGTTCTCTAAGCAATAACATTTAACAGGCCTTTTCCCTCCACTAAATAATGATACATATAAAAGCGTGAAACCCTAATCTGCAGCTTGTTTAGCTTACATATCCAAATCCATATGTAAAACTATGTAGAATAATAATAATGCATGTTACAACTGTATGTACAATACATCAGAACATACTTTAAAATTTGCGGGTGACAGTTTAAAATACAAACACGGTACCCTTTCAGGACATTAAAATGGTAAGTAATAACAAACTGGTTTAGGACCCCACGAGAATGCACACTCATGAACACAATTATGTGCATAATGCATTGTAAACTATGTTGAAGGTATGCGGACAGTTAAAGCATACTAAAAATCTATATTTACAACAAAAATCCCCATACACAATATATCAGAGTATACTTTAAAGGTGTCAGTTTAAAATGTAAACATGGTGCATTTCAAGACACTAATAGCAAGTGTAGGGCCCCTCTAATCATAGGACCTCCCATGAGAATTCATCAATTCTGTTTGTAATGAATACATAAACTATGTTGAAGGTACGACGACGGTTAAACATGCTAAAAATCTATAATATTTACATGAAAAATCACCGTTATTGTATGAGAATTGTATCGTTTAACGTTTCTACTAGTATCATTTTTGGAAGAGAAAGTTCAAAGGTATTTTTATATACGGCACCATATCTTTATTAAGGTACATATAATTTCGATAGTCCACTATTTGAAAAGCTTACGATTAGATAATTTATCGCTACCAATCAATATAATTTTGTACTTTGAACGTGTTCGGTAATCTTTTAAGATAATGTCAAATCAGCTCCATTCTTCCATACAAATTTTTAAGCAGAAAAAAAGTTTGAAAAGTTTGCTTAAAAATCCGAATAAAGCAATGAACAAATCTCGGTGTGTGTGTGTGTGTGTTTTGTATGAGGTTAAAGTTATAAAGTAGGAAGAAAAAATATCGTTCAAGGTCTACCACCCGTAGTTTTGAATAAGCATTGAAAACAAGGACGTGGACGGGATGGTCCATTTTTTTCACAAGTGAAAAGGTCATTTTAGAAAGGGAGAGGAGACAGAAATATTGGAAGAATCGAACAGTTTTTTTATAATTATTATTATTATTATTCTCCGAATTTTAAATCATTTATAAATTAATTTTTTTAAAAAGTTCACTTACCTTTTCTACTTGCCATTTTAATATATTTGGAAATAGAACGTAAAGTAGAAGACCCGCTAAAGCGAACAAAGCTCCGAAAGTCACTAGGACTCCAGTTTTAGCAACTGGTGACAGCGTCATTGTCCCGAAGATTCCTATAAAATCAGCTGATGGATTACAGAAAAAATAAAATAATTATTTAATTACGAGTCGATCTGAAGTTTGGCACAATAGAAAAAACAATTGGGTAATTATACACGCATGACAAAAACTGCCCTCAATACTTTTTTCCTTTCTTCCTTTATTGTTTAAATTGTGAATAAGAAGAGTAAACAAAGCGAATCGACAACAACACGTCCATCCCACAAAGTAGAACTAATAATAGAAGAGGCATATACTTTGGCACGTGATGGCGGGTGACGCCTGTCTAATTGGTTGTACGGAAGCGAGGCCACAGAACACGCGCGTAACTCCTCGTGTTTGTTTCGTGTACTGTATTCTTTATCAGCTGTTTTTCGATAGTTTTAAATTCTTTTCGAAATTCCACGAGAGAATTTAAACACGTTTTAAAGTATAGAAATCGAACTTTTTAAACGTTAAAACATTTCTGTAGTGTTGGGCTCTATCTAGTGTATTTGTGTACACATACCACACCAGATAACGATACGTGTTAAAAATGCCAGGCCTTAAGCTGCTGCTGCTGCTTGTTTAGCTTATGGGCAAATCTAACTCCGAAACTATTCTGTTGTATGATATTGCATAATGCTATGTTACAACTGTATTATATACAATATATCATAACAGTTAACATACATATATGGATGTCAGTTTAAAATATAAACATTGTACATTCTCGAGGCACTAATGGCAAGTATAATACTAACAAAGTTTGGGGTCCTCTAGGGGCTGTCCATAAATTACGTCCTTTCTCTTGAAATTTTTAACCGCCCCTCTCTCTCCCCTTGTCAATAGCGTGTTGTAGCTAAATGGGGCCTAAAGTAAATTTGAATTAGGAGGCCTCCTGTACAATTTTTTCGGGGAAATATTTTCTTATAAAAGATTAATTTAGGGCCCTTTTTACCCGTAGTCACCACTGCTGGTCCCAATTTATCCAAGTTAAACTCCCTGTCCTCTTAGGACGTCCAACAAAACTCCCTTGAAACCTTGAATGATAAACATCATAAGTAGAAACCATAAACTGTATAAAATTTAATGAAATAAAACGGACGTCCACGAACCCCTTCCCTTCCTTCCAATATGGATTCCATTTATGGACAACCACCTAAACACATGGCTCTATGAGAATTCGTAAGTTGCACCCAAGTGAAGATAATACGTTTAAATATATATACTATATATATATAAATCAATTAAAGATGTAGCAATGGCTAACTAACTTTTGGGCCACTCCCTGTGTTAGGGTGTATATACATACACACCCACACTCACAGGGTGGTCCAAAAGTCAGTTAGCCGTTGTAAGGACTAAATTGCCGTCTTATTCAAACACTTAAATATCTAATTATATTTTTTAACGTGTTTTCATAGAAGTTATGGAGACACATTAACGATTAGGGAGCTCAACATCATTGTTATGTTTTCATGATTTCTATGTTGAGCTCCATAATTTAAGTTATATATCTCTTATCAAGAAGACCGTGTTGTAAACATAGTTAACCATTTATTAATATATTAGTGTATTCGGGAACACACACACCGCACGTTAACTGACTTTTGGGCCACCCCTTACGTGAAAGTGTATATTGTACAATGTTTTAAGTAATATTTAGCTTTTATATAGTGGAATTTTGATATATGGAACAATTTTGTATATTTTAGAAGATATAAATTAGCAAAATATACGCTTTTTAAAGCTAATTTTCTTTTGTTGAGACGAGTTTATTATATTATTTGAACTTGGATAAGCTAATTCTTATCAATAAGATATACAATGTATTTCTCCGTATAATATTAAATATATCTTTAATTATTAAATCAATATTGATAAGAAAAAAAAAATTCATGACTATAGAAATTTTTACAATAATCTTCGTGTTTTATCATAGGGATAAGATAAAATTCGATCAAAGTCTACCATTAAACTATCAAAAACGGTTTAATTGACGTTTTAAATTCATAAATATATA